TACCACAAAGCTGCGACTTTTTGTGCTTAAAATTCAGAATTCAAAATGATGTGGTGGGGAGAATATTAGGTGTACCAAATTTTTTTTCCCTATGCTGTCGATTTAGAAACAAGATAATGACTCTTCTGCCATTGAGGAAACTTTGCCAATACTTTCGAATTGCAAAATACTGCCCGGCAAAAGAAGCTCATTCAATACCTCAAGACCTTTATTTACGAAATTCCTCATGGAAATTCATTTAAATGATCCGAGGAGTTATGATTTTTGGTGGCTAGGCGCTCAGAGCCTTATAAGGGCCTAGGGGATGATCAAGCTCTGGAAAAGTTCTTGAAGACGCAATCTTAGTTTTGCTTTTCAGCAATTATTTCTTGAAGTACTCCTTAATTCGATGTAATATTAATTTACTGACTGACCCTGAGCATCGCTTGCCACAGTCCAACGAATTGTTATCTTAAGTTTGACATTCACCTTGTAAATCATTCCACCCCGTGTAACTGCTTACATTTTGACGTTAAAATCATGTATTTTACACGAGTGTTCATGGTTGAAAATCGTTTTAACTTTCTGTGCCAAGAGAGACAGCTTTGACGCAAGAACTCATTATCACGTTTCAACAGACGCCCTTCTTCACTTTGCTTAAAACAGTTTAGTACTAACGCAACAAAACCATTTATTTCAACTTCTCTTCATTTCAGTAGAGGGCAAAAATTCAGTCATTAATGCTAGTTTTACAGTTGTGGTTTTGAGAAATTTTATGTAGTCTATATCTGTAGTGTCACTGATCATGTTTAAAATAGTTTGACAAATGAAATAATGTGGCACATGGTCATAATTCTACAGCATTAAAAGGCATCAAGAGATGGATTTCTATAAAATAACCTAATACGATAAAAAAAAAGACATTGAATTCACCGAGTCTAATGAATGTTATAAATGTATTTCCCATGGAAATTTCAGAAATGGACTTTTTTTAATTTGAAATCTTTAACCCTGGGCAAAATGTCCAAATATCATAAGTAACTTCTTGTCATTGAGCAGTAAAAATTGAGTTTCAAAATTTACTTATTTTTAAGGTGACCTAATTTCCTTTATATATATATATATTTTTAATCAGTAAATGGGAAAGTTTTGAATAAACTGTAAATCCTTTTGTTGTAAGAAATACATGTATTGATTTTTGTAGCAAAGAAAACTTTGACAAAGTAAAAAGAGTTATTGGACATCCAAATCTTCCATTGAACAAAGCTTCATCACAGAAACATTAAAACGTTACTTCCAAGAATTAATGAGCTATAAAATTGCTTCTGTATACGGAATAGCTTGATAAATCACTCAAGAACAGCATAATTTAATAATGTAACAGGAAATTTAAAAAAAAAAAAAAAAAAAAAAAACAAAAAAAAAAAAAAAAAAAAAATTAAAAAAAAAAAAAAAAAAAAAAAAATCTAAAAGGGCTCAATATTGACTCATTTCCAATTGAATGTTTCATGTTTATAATTAGAACTTGAAACAGTGGAAGAGACTAAAAGTTCATATAATACTGTAGTGCCCCAGAATACAATAACAGCTCTTCTAATATTAATAACATTGGGTAATACAAACAGAATTATCTTCAGTTTGAAAAATATTACATATTATCAAGGTTTTCTTAAATGTAAAAAAGTCTATGGGATCTCAAATGCATGCCAATTGTATACCTTAGTAATAAAAGATTTAACTGAAATGAATGCAATTTTCGGCTGTTTTTAATCTTTTACCTTCTAACATGCTACCTGGACCATTTTCTAATAACATTTCAAGCTAGCAGTAACTTAACCATGACATGAAAAATGTTTTCATGGCATAATTCACTCAATTTCAAAAGAACAATCTGTGAAAACCAAATGCTCCTGTTCCCATTTTTCATTAAGGACAGACACTTTCAGATAAGAACAGTTTTCTATTAATAATATTTTAGATTAATTCATGAAGGATGATGAATTTCATATATTTAAGTGGCTATTACAATGGCTGAAACTTAAATCCTATCATCTTGAGTTAAAAAGGGTTATACTTAATTTCAATGCACAGTAGTAGTTGGTTGCTATCATAATTGTTATAACTGACACACCTATAAAACAGGCACCTCTGAGATATAGCCTGCCAATTTTCAGGAATTAAAAATTCATTTCTATTCTTTAAAGCTTCATAAGTCAGATGTATAGAAGAATTCTGGGGACAATAGAGCAGATCTTTCTTTCCCATCAAAAGCAGGATTGCCAAATCAATTTTAATGCAATTTTTATTTATTATTTTGTGCTTCTCTACACATGAAAGCTTCTGATCCTTGCTCTAGAAAAATTTCAGATTTATGAAAATAATACAGTCAAAAGTCTTTAATCCGGACGTCCATAATCCGGAATGATCTATAATCCAGACCTCAAAGCTACAATCTTTCTGCGCATACGTAAAAGCATAATGCGTTTACGCATGCGAGTTTAATGTATAACAGACGGTATAAGCTAGGCTAAAATTATCTAATTATCTATTTCAGTTAATGTTGCATATTGCGTTGTTCCTTAATCTTCTAATTGGACCCAGCTTATTATTTTTTGCAGATTATTAGAGCAATTTTAAAAGTAAGCTTGAACTTTCGATTATGTCAAAAAGAATTTCCGATTCTGGAGCTGCCAAAGGATTTACAAAGTGAAAGCATGTTTCAATGTCCATCAAACAAAAAAGTGGAAAAGCTTAAAAAAATGGATAAAGGCATATCCTTCGTTTCTCTAACCATTCCGAAATCTGTTTATCAATTTCACGCTGCTCTGCGGGAGGGGGGGGGATGCCGGGGCACACAATGAACTGGAAGTTGATCTGTCAGCACTATCCTTATCTCCAGGGCAGATGTTTCTATTTTATTCGGCTTACAATTCCTTACTAAATGTAGTATTTCATCTCTATGTACTCCGTCTTTGATATGATTTGAACCAAATTCCTCGTCATTATAAATATCACAAATACACATCAAATAGTTTTCTGGTTGCAATTTTCTAATTTCGACTATGCGTAATGTATGCTTTATGCAAGCGCACGTTGAAAAAAATGTTTAATAAAGTAAACAAATAAATATTAAGCTTTTTTTGTAAATTTTGATACCCTTTAGATCATAATTGCTCTTTTTTTCATAAATTACGGTTTCATATTCTTAATTTTATAATTTCTGCATGCCATCTTACCAGATTTAAACTGATGATCTTATAATCCGGAAAAACCAATAATCCAGAATCTCCGAAGTCCTGATGAGTCCGGATTAAAGACTTTTGACTGTATTATGAACTTGATTGATATAAAGCAGTGTGTAAACATAATGCAAACTTAAACAAAATGTACTCAATAATGTAGCACTCTATACTGAATAGAATTTAATCTTATTGAGTGCATGAAATTTCTTACATTTAATCTTCTGGACATGACTTAGCATTAAGTGATACTTCTGTTTATATTATTTTGATTTCTAAATATATACAATACTTGATACCGAAAAACTTGATAATTTAAAAGTTTACAGTATTTTTCTTTATTCATATTATGTTCTTAAAACATTAAAATGTTTCTTCTAAGACTTCAATTTGAGAAATGAAGCAATTTTTTATTTGCACTAATATGCTGTAATTATGCAAATACATAATATGAGTCTTTTTCACTGAACTGATATATCTAATTATTTGATATTCTTAAGACAATTATTACTAGAACAAAGATTGTAACATGAGATTTAGATTGATAACAATATTGAATGCTGACAAGATACTTAAGAATATCTAACATAAAAATAATAAACCTTTTCATATTAGAGCTTTTTTTTTTTTTTTTTTTTTTTTTTACTTTTTGCCAATGTGAAGTTGATTCTTAGTCAACTTTTAACATGAAAGTGTTCATTTTTTTCCTACAAACATTAATCCAAAATATGGTAATCAGTGAATTCTTAAAAACTGAACATTCTTCAATATATTCATAAAATAACATGCACATGGATATGTTTCACATGTAAAATTTCTATCAACATCATATCTGCTTAGTTCAATTAAAACTATGCACAATCACAATTTCTAATTGTTCTCTTCTTAGATAACGCAGGAATCAAAGTCAAAGAATTCTGTAAAATGCCTAAAATTAATTCCCTGTTATCCAGTCCATAAATTGGAATGACTTAAATTTGAATAATTTTTGAAAATATATAATGCACCTTCAAAGGAAATAAGCTATTGTATTTATTCTGTTTCACATTACTTGTCTAAAAATTACCTCATCTGCCACCATTGAAATCTTCAAAAACTGGGAGGTTTTTCACGCTACACAATGATATCATTTCAAAGAAAAACATTCGACATCACTTCAGAGATATTTATTTTATAATGCATGGTTCAGGTTACCGAACTATTTTTAATTCAATTCTGATGTAAAATTTATTAGCATTTAATTTGATAAACTAAATTTTATGTTCTTTAGCTAATTTAATTTTTCTTACACTTTTATACTGAGAAAATAATGAGTAATGAAGGAAAGCTTTCATTCATATTATTTTCATTGTAGCTTTTAATATCATGAACATAATAATTAATGTACATAGCATTTGGGTGAGTAATGTACCATACAGTGAGATGAACAAACATTAAACATTTCTTGAATCTTTACATAAAAATTTTTAAATAACTACAGTAGATTAAGAGAACTCAGATTAAATAAAATTTAATAAAACAAAGATCAATAAAATTTAATTCAAATCAAATAAAATTTAATAAGAAAATTTATTCTGAAAATCATTATAGATGGGGGAATTAAATTTCCCTAATTTTAGTTTCATTAATTCAATAAATTCCATTCATTGCTGAGAAGCATTTTCCTTAGTAAAAGCTAAAAATAAAAACCAGGAGAGGTAGCAGCTATGCAATATCTTTTTACAAAATAAAATACAGATATAATAGAATTGCTAGTATGTAGATCAGATTTTTCTCAATAAATAACAATTAATTTTATCTAAATTTATTTTTTCTCCAATACAAACTGTTAACAATATTTTGAAATTGCATTTCAAAAGCAGAAAAGACAATACAATGGAGAGAGAGTACCATTTTATTCCCTCCCCTAGCTATTTGAGAATGCTCATCCCTTTTAAGTTTTTTTTAAACAAGCAATTTTACAATCAATAACAGAAGCACAACTTGAAAATATTTCTTTACACATATAACTGCATGTATCCCATCTTATATTTGATGATATCACACTAACAGAAGTATATAGTCATTTACAAATTGTTCCACTGAACTAGGGTGAGCAATGAAAGCAAATTAGTAACAGTCATTATCAAGAGCTAATGATCTTAATTGATGGAAATTTTGGATTAATTAGCATTGGTACGTTTTAGGGAATCAATATATTCTTGTTGAGACTCAGCAAGAACCTTCGCTAATATTCCAGAATCCTCCCAATCACTTAAACCAAATACAGATGGTGGGAGCTGGTTTAAAAATGAAGCTGTTTCATCTAATGCAAAACCATTTAAAGTGCTATTTCCTGATGATGATGATGAACAACCACTGTTTGTACCACTATCCTCTTTGTTTTCGTCAAACATGTTATACATTCCCTCTGTGTAAGCTGAAGTTCCAGCTAAAGAAGTTTCAGGTGATTTTGATTCTTTCTCATTAGCAATATTATCATTGACTTTGGGACTTGAAGATGCTGAGTTAGAGCATCTCGATCTTGATAATACTCTATTAGATTGTGGAGACATGCTGCCTGAAAAACTATCCATTAGACTAGAACTGCTGGTTGCAGTTGCAGTTCTTCCAAGCTTAGATCGTGATTTCACTTCATTATCTCTCAACCATTCTAGGTATGATTCTCTAGCAACCTGCTCTTCTATAGCTTCATTAGTTGCTTCCCAATCAGTAGCTCTTAATTTATCTTCAAGCATTGCTTGCTCCAGTTGTAAATTTTCAGAAGCTCTTATGGCATCTGTGACTAAAGCTTTATTCATTATATCGGGTTTAAAAGACGGTAAACCTAAACCAACACCTATAGTTGCTTTATAAGGGTCAACAATTGAATTATAATGAACATTTCTATGATAGCTTAATCTTATAGGCTCATTATCTGTTTTCTGTGAACCATGAAATATATTGATTGGTTCTGAGCTATAATGATATACTTCAATATGCCTGTTGAACATCTCTGACATTGCTTGCATTTCAATATGATTACCATGAATATGATCAGAACGTTTCCTCTGAACATATTTTTCAAAATCTTCAGTCACATACTGAGAATAATAATCAGAATTTTTTGCCATATAATCCATGCAGAGTTTACGTACAGCAGTATGCATTTCCTGGTCTCCATAAATTTGATCAGCTACAGCTCTAAACATACAAGCCCCATCTTCACCCATTTTTTTGATAGAATAACCTTTTTTCCTCAATTTTTCTTCAAAAAGCCTCTCCTTTTCTGCCAGTTCCTCATCAGTTGTGGTATCCAATGAACGATCATATTCATCACCACTGTTGTATCCAGACGGATCTTCTTCTTGGCATGTTGCAGCTTGGCCTTGAACATTACTATTCTGCCTTTCTTGAACAGCGCTTAAGTTTACTTGTACTTGAGAAGGGCCTGGTATGGGATAAGTTATAGGCGGGCCTCCACTTCTCAATGAATGATTTGAATGAGTGCGAGCTTTACGCACACTACGATGAGGAGAAGTTTGATGACGTCTCTTAGAATGGCTTGGCCCTGAATCACTATTGACATATTCATCAAATCCAGAACTAGAGGAATGTGCTGGTCTCTTCTCTTCGCGGGAAGTATGCAAGGGCCATGCAGGAGGAGAAGAACGACTTGCAAAATTAAATCTTTCCCTTCCTTCTTGATTATGTGTTTGATGTCCGTGGTTGTCACCAGAATATGAATGATTGTTAGGATCAGGTGAATTTTCTGTTTCAGGTTTCTGCTGAGCAGTTTTTTTCTTTGGTAGAATAGTCATGATGATTAATTCTTAATACATACTTCGAAAAAATAAGAAATTATAATCTTTTAGCGTAGTGTAAACCTTTGTAGAGAAATACAGCACTCCTTTATGAAGTTTCTTCCAGTCTTTGAAAGGACCTTTTCTAAAAAAGAAAATAAGTTTTAAAATTTAAATACATGAAAATAATATGCATTACAGATATAGCAAAAAATTCATCGTTAAAATTACACAATAATTCAAATAATCACTCATTCTCTGATTAAAAAGCAAACAAAGACTATCTGCTACAATTAAGGATGCCTGAATCAAAGACTTTCTTAACAGAATTTGTATCTTGTATTTGGGTCAGGTTAGAGGAGGATGGCATTGTAAGGGAAGCAACTGGGGAGAAAATAATTATGCACCATGGTGGCTTTACCACCTCTTCGTAAAATTCTGTTTAATTAATTGATTCATTTTCAGAGACAAATTCATGGCGAATAAGGTCTCTGTAGTCAAAAAAAGCGATCAGTATCACCTTAGTCTTTGATTTCGACATCCATGCCTTTTTGGGGAAGGAGGGGAGAAGACCGTTCTTTCATTGTGCACTTAGTCTTTCTGTTTCTGGGGCATATTGTAGACACTAAGTCTCATCTGTCACTAAGATACATTTAAGAAATTGTTGTCCTGTCTCATACTAATCAGCAAATCTTTGCACCAAGCTTTTCTGTGAGGTACAAATCGAGTATAACCGTTCATTTTCAGATTTTCAATTAAAGTTAGCCTACAGCTTTATTTGCTTATCCCAAGTATGTCTGAAAAGTTGCTGATTTGTAACACATCTATCAGCTTTTAGCAAAGAACAAATTTCCTCCACGTGTTTCTCATTCTTTAAAGTTGCAGGGACCTTATTGTTGATTCGTCTTCAATGCTTTCACACCTACACTTAAAGTGGTTCTACCACTCATACACTTATGTTCTAGATAACGATACATCACTATATACAGTTCAAATCATCTCTGACATTTTGGTAGAAGATTTGTAATGAAATTTAATGTTTATAACATAGTTCCATCTCGAATGAAATTTTTTGTACAATGTCATCTCAATAAATGAAAATGACTACAGTGTTTTCATATGCAAATCACAAAATAACCAGTTTAAACTGGCTTTAACAAAAACTACGATGTCACCTTTTTAAACATATATTTATTTTTTCATTTTCTAATTTTATCATTTGGTCTTTCAATTTGTCCCATTACTTTATGGGCGCACTTTGTACCTTACCAAGGAAAGGCTATTGCAAACATACAAATGATATTTTTTAAATTACACAGAAAACGAAAATATTAAATTAACAAATTATTTTAGATGAACAAAATACAGATATGCAAATAAGTAAGAAAATTAATTTTTATTTCTCCTGACTGTTTTTCCCATTGTGAAAGAAACTTGTCATCTCTGACATGGGCTGCATGCTAGGAAAACCAAGAAAACTCAATGCACTGAGACTATTCATATACAGAGAACAGAATAAAATACATATCACTAGCATTTTGTGACTTTAACCACATAGTCACTTACCACTCATTGAATCTTACTTTTCACTTTTTGACACATGGTCACAAAATGATGATAAAAATTTGTCTTGCACAAAAATCTGAAAATGCAATTTTTTTACTAACAAATTTAATGCAGTGCACCTCTTAAATCAGTTTTTCATACTTAAAATTCTTTAACCTACTAACAGACTTTTCGGTATTTTCAGATTATCTGCATCCCCTGAATAGTATTTATTCACAAGGCAACATGCTATGGAGTTGGTTGGCTGATTTGCCAAACAATGCTGAACACAAATATTTGCATTTCATGAAACTGTATATTATGCAAATTTATTCTTTTTTTTTTTTTTTTTTTTTTTTTTTCCTGAAGCGAAAACAAATTAATGGGCATATGGGAAGAACAATATTAACAAGTTTCTGCAATTCAGATATTGTTTTTAAGCTAAAACAAATTATTATGCACACGGGAAGAACAGTGCCAAAAAAGGGCAAGTGTTTGATTACAGATATTATTTGTGCTTTAAATTTTGTTAATTCATCACTATTTTATAGCATTCTTAGTGTGTCACCTTTCATGTTTTAGCCTAGCAAAAAATTAGTCACCAACTTTTCGAAAGAAGAATGAGGATAGTAAAAAAGTACTGCTATTTTTCTACATAATGAATTCTATATAGAATATCTAAAGATGAAAGTCTGTGTGTTTGTCCTCCAGTAACTCAGTCACTACTATAGCTTTCATCGACAAACTTTCTACGATTTTTTTTTCTGGGTCCTGGAAAAGGTAGACGTCCACTTTTTTCAAAAAAAAAAAAAAAAAAAAAAAAAAAAAAAAAAAAAAAAAAAAAAACTAAAATCAGAGATATTAATTAAAAACAAATAAAAACGATAATTTTTGCTCTCAATTTTCTCAGTGGCGAGTCTCGCAAGCTAGAGATGAAAATCTGCTTTATTTTGAAAGTTGTTGCCACTGCTCACTTTCAAATCATAGAGTTTGTTAACAAAACATTTTCTAATTGTTTTCATCAAGTGAAATAAAAATAGCATTGCCAAACATTAAATACATTATTTTCGATTCAAGAAATTTGTGAGAAGCCATTTCAACCACATACGACTTTAATCAGTCAGGATTAAAAACTGAGAAAACATTAATTTTCGCACTCATTTTCCCGAGTAGCAACAGTCTTGCATGCTGGAGATAAAAATGCGTTATTTTGAGAAGTGTTGCTAATGCTCGCTTTTAAACGTAGAGTTTCTTAATTCAAAAATTTGTAATTTTTACAAAACCAAAAACTTTAATTTCAAAATAGCAGCGGAGCCAGTTAAGCTTGTAATATATAAATAAAATAGAAATTATAAAAAATTTATCACTTATAGCTGACTTCAAAATCAAATAATTTTCTCTTGCCAAAACTGGAACTTGAATTAAAATTTCATACATTTTTTCAGCATTCAACATTTTAAAGACTGAATTTCAATTCTATGTACACTGCGGCAAAAAAAGGGGGGTCAGTTCTATATCTCTTGTTCTACTAGGCCAATCGACGAAATTCAAATGTTTGTTTCAAAAGTTTTCATGTCTCGAAAGCATGACTTAGGATATGTATTAGATATAGCATTGTTTTAATACAGATATTTTGACACAAAATCAGACCTTTTTCTGAAATGATATGCCAATTTTTTTTCCATATTTTGACTCTACAACTCAAATTATGCCAAACTGCCAAGTTTTTCAAAAATCGCAAGAGTAGTTTTTAAAAAATTAGCTCTCAAAATTTTAGCTCCTCAGTGAATTTATATATATGTATAATATCTCCTTTTATTAAACTTATTGATTTTACTTTCACCTTTCACAATTTAGGGTATTCAAATAAAATTTGCCCTTTTTTACGATTATTTTAAAATTGGTATTTTTAAATAACTTATAAATTTTTCAAAAAAAATTTTAAAATATAACCTATAAAATTTTAACCATCATCTTAAAGTAGATGTATTTCTAAGCATACCTGCAAAAAATTAGGGTTTTTTTTATTCAAGATTTCCCAACATATACATGAATTTACATACTTTTTGATTTTACTTTTTGATTAATTTGAAATATTTGGCATATTTGTTAAAAGCGATAACACCAAATATGGTGTATGCAGTTTGTTAAAATTATTTGAAAGTATGAATAATGACTTTTTTTCCCACTTTAGTATGATGAAAAAAAAAAGGAAAGGAAAATAGGTTGCTATAAACTAAGAATTTCGCAAAGTGAATTATTCTTGGCATAAACTGAAAAACATACGGCAAGATAAATTTTTTAATTTCTCCATAAATTTCACACAAAATTTAATATCTATGCATAATATGATTTGTAGAATGGAAATTTCGAAAAAAAATCAGTGTGTCATTTCAGAAAAAGTTCGATTTTGTGTCAAAATACTTATGTCATATTAATACTACGTATAAATCTAATATATGTTCTAAGTTGCGCTTTCAAGACATTAAAAAAGCAATTTGAATTTCGTCAATTTGCCCAGTAGAACAGGAGATACAGAACTGTCCTCCCTTTTTTTGAGCAGTGTACATATGATTTTACATAATTTAAATTTTCTTTCCTCCAAGAAAAGGCACAAAGTATTATCCCATGGTTCTCGCTTCCATTGTTTAAAATTTGCATTATATGCTTCTTTACAAGTAACTGATGAAGATATTAACTAAACAGTCTGAAAAGACATTTGTATGAATAGCAGTAATTTTTTAATAGTTAATAAAAATAACATACATTAAAAGAAACTATAGTTTACACATTTTTATGGCTTCTCTCAAAAAGTTGGTTTGAAAAGAAAAACTTTACATTACATTAAGCATTGCCTACATTTATGTTTTCAAAAGTTTTAAATTGTACCTTTCTTCAAGAAAGAGCAAATAGCATCATACAATTGTCTTCAAATATTTAAAAATTATACTTTTTATATTATTTCAAGGATTATTAAACTTGTGAAAGAGCTTAACAGTCCCAGACAAATTTAAATGCCAATGTACTCATTTAACAGCATTTAATAATTTAAAATGCTTGATAATTTTTTTAAAAAATGCATCTAAGATTTGTGGAATCTTTTTAGAATTCCTTTCAGATTTACTATATCCCCCCTCAAGTTTATTTTAAACTACAGCACAGAATAATTAGCTTATTCCAATAAAATGGAAAATAAGCATTTTGTCTGCAATCAATAAAGTATCTACAACAATAATCTAGTTAAACTTATTCACACATTTGATTAGGAAACATATTTTTCATTTCAAGGTTAACTGAGCAAGATATTAAAATTGTCAGGGTACTTTTCCATTTGCTGCAACCCTTCAGAAAAGCACCAAACTATTCTGCAAATGGTTTGCATGGTATAAGCATTTAATCAGCCTCCTGGCCAAATAATGTCAAGAAGGCTTTCTGTTTACATGTATATAAAACCATATATTTACTTTTTATTATTTTCCGCACATTTAAAACAAAAATAATCATTTCAGTGCATTTTGCATGTACAGTCAAAAGTCATTAATCCGAACTCGTCGGGACTTCGGCAATTCCGGATTATCGATTTTTCCGGATTATAGATCATCAGTTTAAATCTGGTAAGATGGCATGCAAAATTATAAAATTAATATGAACCGTAACTGAATAAGAACAATTGATAAAGGGTATCGAATTTACAAAAAAAAAAAAAAAAAAAAAAAAAAACATAAAAAAAAAAAAAAAAAAAAAAAAAATTTTAAAAAAAAAAAAAAAAATAAAAAAAAAAAAAAAAAAAAAAAAAAAAAAAAAAAAAAAAAAAAAAAAAAAAAAAAAAAAAAAAAAAAAAAAAAAAAAAAAGAAAAAAAAAAAAAAAAAAAAAAAAAAAAGAGAAAAAAAAAATAAAAAAAAAAAAAAAAAAAAAAAAAAAAAGAAAAAAAAAGAATAAAAAAAAAAAAAAAAAAAAAAAAAAAAAAAAAAAAAAAAAAAAAAAAACAAAAAGAAAAAAAAAAAAAAAACAAAAAAAAAATAAAAAAAAACAAAAAAAAAAAAAAAAAAAAAAAAAGTACACATTTTGAACATACTTATATAATGAAACTCACAGTGAAAGAAATATGCCTCACTTTTATTCTAATATAGTACATATGTTAGACTTTTAACCTAAATAGCTTACGATTTAATGTTTAAAGCAATGGCGAACTGCAGCATTTAAAATTAATAAACAAGAAAGTGTCTAAATTAAAACTTCTTTATTGATAAAAGCCACAGAAAACTTTCAAAATAAAGCTTTTTAAAGTATTTTTTCTGCTTTCATCTCCTGATTACACTCTCAGGTAATGCAGTATTAAAAAAAGAATCGATCTAAAACCAGACAATATATAATTTCATCGCACATTATGTTGGCACTTTTTGTTTCAATAATTAAAAAACGTAATAAGTAATGCATGAAGGAAAGCAACTGACAGAAATATATTTCAAAACTTTTCATGTTTCATTAACACATAAAATGCATTTACTACAATAGGATTAGAAACTCAAACAGTTAACGTATAATATAAAAAAATTATAAAAACAGACGCAGTCAGTAAAAACAAAGGAAAGTGAAATACTTTTGTACCCAAATTAACAGGCAATGATGACCTAAACAAAAGAAATTAAATAACATAGAAAACACATGAACAAACATAAAAGCATTACCAATGTAGAAAATAACAAGCATAAAAGGTAAACCTCACTTTTGTCTCCTAATTAAGATAGTTTCCTTTTAACTTGGACATTAATGAGCTCCACCTTTATAGCATATTCTCGAAAGTACATCAAATGTTTCACAACTATGAACATTTATTTATATTTAGATAAATTTTAACATTTAAATAAATTTAGGTGAAATTTCATAAACATAAGTTTGATTATCAGGATTACGCAGATATTCCTAATACTTCCATTGCGAGGTCATTCAGACATGGCGGTGCATTACAAATTCAGCAATCAACACCTAAACATCCAAACAATACTTATTCTTTCTTGAATTTAAATGTAATAACTTTAATTTAATTTTGCTCTATTTCTCAGATTGCTTAAGCTTACCATATTAAATGCATATGAAAAACAGAATTAAAGAGGTTAACTGATTGCCACCCCTAAAATACTACATAACACAGAAAAAGGTAAAAATTAAGTATATTACTTGTTAATTATTCCTCCTATTCTATTCTAATGCGAACAAAGACGTTAGACTTAATTAAGAATAAAGGATATGCAAACGTTTATTATGCGATCGTGAACATTAAACCCAAATTTCTTTTGCTTATGTTCTGCGAATTTACTACTTTCTGCTTTCACTTCACTTTAAATGACTGAATCAACAAACAGCCTACAGACAGCAACTCGAACCTAATTTGTTTGTTTTCTTCATTCTAGCACAGCTCTGCTATTTCTAAGAGATCGACCTTTTGGTTTGAAGATTCATAACAAAGCAATATATACTAGGGATTAATCTGTCATTCTGCGTAACAAGGCAAAATTATGACAACGAGACAAGTAAATATTTCTAAAAACTCATTATTTTCTGTTTAAATGAAATAAATTGAAAAATCCACGCGAAATAAACTGCAATAAGTTTCTTTATTAATTTATAAATACATTATTATACATAAAATTTTCAAAATTTAGAATCATATACTCAAAATATAACGCATAATAAGTAAGGAAATAAGTCGGTTATCATTAAATATTCAGTTTTGAGATTAAATATTTGT